ATTGAACTATTTTTTCATATTTTAGATACCTTTGTGGAAAAACTTTGTAGCAGCCAAACTGGTAAGCCGTCCATCCCTTGAGACATGGACCAACAGGAACTGTACAGCATAAGAAAAYTATTACATAATTTATTACATATAAATTCAGGGTATTAAAAATCAGGGTTTCTCTAATATTGAAAACTTGACATTTYTGCAACCTCTGTAAGATGCATATCTTTCATATTTGGTATAGCGTACCTGTAGTTGGCTGTCTGGTCGGCTGCGTGATTCCCTCTGGAAATAAGCAACAATTTAGAACAAACTAAAAAAAATATATTCTCTTGGGCATATAGTTTGAATACGAAAAGGATTACAAGAAGATTTATCATTTTTACTACGTAGTGTATATTTCGGCCTTTATCCAAAGGCCATCGACTGCAGACTGAACTTACATGAATAACTAGGACTTAGGGGAATTAGACTTAGGGGAATTAGAAAACGCTACTATTTTAGCGTCAAAATTCAAAACAAATAAGGAGAAAAACAAAGGAGAATCGCCGAAGCGCTTTATATAAAAGAACAAAAACCATCCTTGAATGAACAGGGACAGTCAATTCAAGTCTTTTGAACTAATTAGTTATTCATGTAAGTTCAATCTGCAGTCGATGGCCTTTGGATAAAGGCCGAAATATGCACTACGTAGTAAAATGATAAATCGTCTTGTAATCCTTTTCGTATTTAAACTAAAAAAATCAAGCAAACCAAAGGAGTGTTTGCAAAATCAGCTGAATAAACAAAAACAAAGCTTTCCATGCATAAAGGCATAATATTGAACATAAATACATTTGTAGTAACTTATAGACTACTTTCTAAATGCCTACCATCGATTTTATCAATTTACAATATTATGGAAACATTCAGCACTGTCAGCAATTTGCAAAGTATTGAAGCTGTGGACTAAATACTAACGATGCTATTAAGGGATGAAAATATAGTTATTTGATTTGCTGAGATCTTGCTAGCCTCATATTTGCGTGTTTCGTTTSTCTTCCTTGTAACTTGTAGAGGTTTTAGTATTTTTCWGTGAAACTTTCAAAGCTTATCTTTAGCGTTGATATCTCATCATTTATCGTCAGAGTATTCTTGTCAACGTTATGCATTTCATTAGTGTCGGCCATGTATACGAAAGTCGTCAATTGCATACCGCTAAAATACCTTTTAGACTTCAGACAACATGATSGAAAAAATACACAAGCATTTCTAACACGTTAATGTATACTAAACAACACAATGATGGACAAGTCACTTACTTCCAAATTTTTTGCAAACATAAGCRAGATTACTGCTACAATCATCATCCATCCAGTACATCCAGTCTCTGCTACTAATCGTCATCGTGGCTCGTACACAGCTACCATTGATATTCCTGTCATTTGGTTGACCATTCCACCAATGCGTGAAGTCCACTACAGTATTATCTGACCAGCGGTATACTCCACGTGTTCCCTTATCTGTTAGTCCGATCCACACGTCTCCAGCATCCCATGACGTCACCAGCAAACTTGTCACAATTACACTTTCGGTTCTAAATAGTTATAAAGTTATTAGTACTACAAGATGGTAAATATGATGATTTATGAAATCACATTGCAGGTGCAGAATGATCACGTGATATGGAACTATTTTAACGCTATCATGAGTACTGTTATTTATGTATATCATCGATGAAAGACCAAAGTTTCTGCTAAGTTAGCCAGTCAGTATTGATTTGAGATGTTAACTTAAAGTTGTACAGAACTTCCGCGATACTATATGATTTTGTTGAAGTTCATGTTCTCTTTAAAGTTTGTGATTAACACTCTTACATCCTAATATACCATGTTTGGAATTAAAATTTTTGTTGCAACTGGATTTTGAGGAAAAAATAAACCGTCATATTTGATGAAAACAAATCAAAAACACGTTTCCGCGATCAAGATGTTTCCTGTTCAAAGCTTTAGAGGGTTCCTTATGTATCCTCACCCTGAATGGATGCTAACTAATTCAGCACCAGACTTCTTGCACGATGCACGGGCATCAGACCAACTCTTCTTGTCAAGCATCAGACGGTAGCAAGCACTGCCATCAGGAGATCTTTGCCACCCCGACGGACATGTCGTTACATTGGGGGTTCCTATTAACCATATAAAACGAAAGACTCAGTTTGCTGAAGATATATCAATTGTATTTAGTAAAATGGAATTCTTCTCTACGCTCTTCGTCACCCTCGTCATGGATGAACAAAAGTTCTGATAATACGATGACCATGAAGGAAGGCCCGTTTACACTTGCAATTTTTGCAGCCACTTTTTTTCTCTCGCACCTCAAATCGTACGTGTAAACAGCCCTGCCATTGTCGCGGCAATTTTTGATCGGCGCGGGYTGCAGCTAAATTTCAAGCATGTTCGAAACTCAGGCGATTGGCGCGCGACAATCGTTCTGCAAAAATTGTAAACGGGTCTTAATAAGAGAACATATATGCCATGGGAAACGATAAAGTTAATTTTCTTAGGTCCTGTTCATACGTCGAGCCAGCGTCGCGCCGAACCAAATAGTCAATTGGTGTCGCTGGCTCTACGTATGAACCTTATTCTCTGCACACATATCCTCTAAGAAACTAATAGGTTAAAATAAACATAATAATATATGTACCTTTTACACAATTGTACGTAACATCCAGATACTTCCTGGTGTACTTGCATGGATCTTTACCAAAAAATTGGTTGTTCGCATTTATAGAACAGAACTTAAGCCCGCCGCACACCTGCTGAAGTTTGGAAGTGACATTTAATAAGCAATTGGTAATACTAATTGCTCCACAAGTCGTTTTGTCCGTACGGCCGTAGTTTGCTTTCTGTATTGAAATCACTGTTGATGCTGGACAGCTGAGGCTATCAGATGACCATTCACAGATGATTTGTTTACGAGGTGCTACAAAGATAAACCACCAAACAACTCATTAATCGACCCAAATCAATCAACCAAACATACATTAATTAATACACATTTGAAAATAAGATTTTACCACACTTGTTCGCGCGCACTGATTGGCTGAGAGTGTGTYAATAAGAGGACATGAACACTAGACTTAAATGTGGTAAAAAAAACACATTGCACACGGTTTTTGGTTTTATGTCCTCTTATTAACACACTCTTGACGTCATAAAATGTTCATAACTTTGCAGTGCTCCCACAAATTGTGAACATCACTCAAAATGGGCATGGTATATTTTTTTGGGGCGGTTTAAAGTTGTTTAAATTGGCCGTATACAGTTTGTTGTTCGTGTTTGGACCGACTGGGAATCCCTCTATAGGTTTAACTGCTTTTGRAAATATGTATATTTATAATTAACACGGTACGAAACCAATAAAGTTTTCAAAAAAAATTCCATAACTTCATAATTATTAAATGTCCTTGAAGGTTAGCTCGCTAGGTAACAAAAAGCACTAAGAAATATATTGTGTTGATACAAACCTAACGTAGGAGAAGTTCCAGTTGATTGTATAACTAAAAAAAGGAAAGAGAAGATATTTTGAACCAAAGATAAGCATAATTATAATKGACAAATACGACATATTCTAATTGTGACATCCCTATTTACATAAAGTGAGCAGTATATTTCATTCCTACCATTGACTGAAATTAAATTAATGAATAGAGACGATATGTAAAAAGTCCTGTGTCTGGCAAACGAATGATTTCACAGGTAAAAAAAAACAGTGACAACAGTTGTGAAACAGAGAGCATGCGTACTCAGCTTTACTTGTCAAGTAAACGTAAACAGCTTTTTGGTTTGGCCTAGACTGCGTTTACGTTGACGAAGGAGGAAGAGACGAGTATTTTCATTTACTTTTTTTTCTCTAAGACTTCAGCTAATAATATGTATACTATGTCTGCTGATCCTGTCATTTCACGCTACAGTTAGTTAGCCTCATCTCCAGTCTAATATATTGGATGTACCGACCATACTGGAGTCAAGGTTATGCTTTTTTATTTTTTCAATATTTTTGACACGAAATGGAATATTTGGCCTAGTGATTTAGTTGGTCGAATCAGTACTAAAGTCTCGGAAAGATAGCAGTTTGCGTAAATATAATATGTAAGTAGCTCTATATGAAAGGCATTTTAATGTTGATTATCGTCACTTATACCTTTTTTGCGTTTGCATATAGAAGCCATGTTTGTAGTGCATCTAATGTCGTTCCATCGTCCCATAATTGATGTTTGATGATAAGTGTGACCACAGTCTTCCCCATGCCAGTACCAGTTATCTGGCTGGTAATTATTCCAGTTAGTGAAAAGAGTTGGCGAGCCATCACACCATTTCCAAACACTTTCCAGGGACCTATCATGGAAGCCTAGCAAAATAATCAATGGACATTAGATCTAAATGATATATTGAGAAGAACATGAGAGTTTTCTCATTTATATTTTCTAACTCACGAAATATTCATTAGACATTCTTCCAATGAGCATTCAACTATGGGTCACATGACAGAACCTATAACTCAAGTTACAAACACTGATTAATTGAACATGAGTTTTATAACTAACCGATTCAGTTTGTTATAAAACTCATGCATAAAGCATCAGTGTTATAGAACAAAAAAAACCTCAGCCGTGGTTTTATACTCTGATAAACGCACGCTTGGCATTTGAAACACACGAGAACATGTCAAGAAGCACGAGCTGAAAGCAAGTGCTTTTGGACATTTTCTTTTTTAGTCTACTATGACTCTGCAATACATTTCAACTCGAGACCTAGTGAAGTTCTATGATGACAGTCTAAAACTGAGAACTTTTCTAGTGTTGGGCACACATCGAGTGTCTGTTAATCAGTTATAACACTGATGCTTTATGCTTTATGTCCAATATCGCTCTTTAATTTCTTAAAAAAWTTCCTTGTCATGAAGCGCTTTCTTGTGTATCTATTAAATAAACTTACTCTATACTGTGAGAAAACGCAGGAAAACTATCAAATATTAAAACCAAACTAAATACTAACAAATAGTGACTAATTCAAGAAGTTGTGTTAGTCTTAATGAACCAGAACGCAATCAAGATGAATCTACRTGAGACTTATTTATTGTGCGAAAAAGAACATAGAAAAAAAAACTTTGAATCGATAAAAATTAACAATTAAAAATGTGCATTTCGATCCGCTTTTCAGTTTGCAACCGAGAGATCTCGGAAAAMCCTCACAGTAGTTTGACTAGAGTCTTAGTAAAAAAAAAATAATATGAAATATATCAAGGTATTCTTGTAATATTATTTTTTCTTTTGAACTGATGATGGAACATACCGATCCAAGCAAATGAATTGAGACCAAAGTATCCGACCTCCAATGATATATGCGCCTGCTCAACTGGTGAGGTTATGCTGACCAAATCACCGCCTTGTTTCTGACAATTACTTCTTGCAAGCACCCAGCTCTTTTTGTTGCTATTAAATTGGTAGCAATATTGACCAAACTCTTTCCATCCTAACGTGCATGTTCCAAGCTCTAAGAGTAGATAAAATTCGTTATTCTGACAGAAAGCACCATTCCAGTCAGTCACAAGATCCCAGCGCCATCTTGAAAGGTAGAAATGTATCYTTTTTTGCATGCATTGAAGGGACACCGGTTGAGTTTGCAGTAGTATATACGTTTCTTCACGCCTTGACTATCATTCGTAGTTGTCGAGCTTTACCAGTGTCTCGCTTCAATGCATTGCATTGTCACGCTACCTTTTCAAGAAGGCATTAGGAACTATCAAAAGAAGTAAGCCGTTCCTAAAGTCAAAAAGTTAGATTTGTAAGTTAGCTTCACTATACTGTCTGATAGTCCTTGATATCTCTTTTTTTACCTGCAAGGTAAATATCCTTGATTTCTGATGGATCAAGCAATCTTTTCCATATTCCTAACGACCTCATGAAATAGTACCCAACTTGAAAACGCTTTAACTTGCTGCCGACCGTCAAAACGTAATTGTTTGATGGGTGAGTTGGAGTTGATATTGTCCCTGATACATCAGATGCCCTATCAATGAACAGATCTTTTGGATTAGAAGTTTGTATTGTAAAAAAAATCACTGGAACAAAAGATCCATGTCCAATGTACCATTAAAAAAGTATACAAATCTAGATTTACAAAGA